TCTTGACCTAGAGAAGTAGCAGGTGAAGATTATGTGATCGAATTACGAATAAGAAATAAATAAATAAGATGGACGATGTACACGAGTTGATCCGTTCCCATCTCCAGATCGCTAGTGACCGAATGAAGAAACAGTACGATATGCAAGCCGAACAGGGGTGTTTTAAGAAGAACAACAAAGTCTGGCTTTATAATCCCAAAAAGCGAAAAGGTTGTTCTCCCAAGTTGCAGCAGTTTTGGGAAGGTCCATATCTCATTATGGAAAAGATCAATGAGGTCATTTATCGAATAAGCAAGATTCCGACGGGAAAGCCGATGATAGTACACCATAACCGGCTGGCGTCTTTCGAAGGTGACCACGACGTAGATGAAGAAGTGGAACTAAACTAAGTCCAAGATGTGTCTGACCTCACGTTTGAGGAATTCATGGGTGCCTATGGAGGTACCGGTAAAGTAAGACATGGTGTTACCACCGAAGAAAGGAAAGATCTACTCGCGCTTGCCGATGACTACTCACTGGCCCTTACCATCCCGGCCACTATCAAAGACGCACCAGGGTTGGCATCCGTCTTTCGAAGGAAGTTCGGTAGAGTTGCAGAACTTCAATGCCAAGTGCCAGTTGGAGTGCCGCCAATTAGATTGGAGGGCTATCCGAAATATTGTGGAGGAGATCTTTAAAGACACTGAAGTCCAGGTGTTAGTCTGTTGCAATCCGCATAGTTACTGGTGCGGAGAGAAAACAGTCCCTTGTCATTTTTATACAACTGGAAGTTGTAAAAGAGGGTCCAGTTGACGATACCAGCATGCCGTTCCAGTTCCAGTCCCGACTAGGTTCCAGGAGAAGCCATCTTTAAGAGGGGGGCAATGTTACGATAATAAATATTATGGTGTATAAAACTGTAAATATATTATGACTAATTCTTTTCTATTTCTAGTAATTTCGGCGCTCAGACCTGTTTACCTGCCAGCAGAAATTACTAGACCCTTCGAGACCAGCCCATGAGTCACCTAATGGATGGAAGGTCATTGATGCATCTCCAGACCGTTCTGGATAACGGCATTTTATATATAATAACGGGGATTTTTATTGAGAAGTTAGTCAAAAGAAGATATCGCGATCGCGTTAAAATTGTATCGCGCATAGATAAATTTTTAAGTGTAAAATAAATTAGTAATAAATAATAAAGACTTTGTGAGTGTTATAAATATTGAACCTTTAGTAAATTAAAATAAGAACAATAAATTAGAATTAATAAAGACTTTACAATGTGGTCTTTAGTTAGGTCATTGTTAAGGTAGATTTGCTCAATTTCTTTTATTCTTAGTTTACTTTTGTTAAACATTAATTTCTCTGTTTCTTTGAGATTTTCTGTTTTTACTGGGTACTTTATTTTTAAGATTTCGTACTTCTTGTAATAGTAGTTTTAGTAGTAGTACATTTGCCATATAAACTTGTTCTATCTGTTCTAATCTATTATTTGTATTCTTTAGTTCCTTTCTCATTGCATGTTTTTCTTTTATTAGTTGTTGGTTAGTTCGGCTTAGTTCTTTTATTTTCTCCTTTAATTTATTTAATTCTTTTTTGAATATTCTTTGTTCTTCTTTTGTCTGTTTTATTTCCCATTCCAGGCTACTTGTTTTTATAGTTAGATTTGGTATCATTTAAATGATTTGGTCTAATGTTTCTCATTCTTATACTGAGTTTGTGTTGGAGTCTAGAACATTTTTATTCTGTTAAAAAATTTTTTTGTTTTCTTCCCCAATTCTTCTAATCTTATTGCTATACTCTGATATATCAGTATCCATTTTTTATTTTTATAGTCAATTTTTTTCTCTTTAAGTATTTATTTAGATTATTTTTAATTTCTTTAACAAATATAAGGCAGATCTAGGGTATAGTTCAAAATGTCATGAGCACTGTTACTGTGAACCTCAAAACATATAAACATTGCAGGGCGATCCTATGATAAAGGAGGATATTATAGTCTCTCATGCTAACATAAAAATACAAAAGAATTAAATAATGCAATTCTGAAATCCTAAATTGGGCCATTGAATTCATTTAGACCTTCTTAATTGCAGATGTTCATTTACAGACAGCGGTTCTGGTGAAATGTTAAGAGCAATACATTTGTCAGCAGCAGGTTCATTAATGGATACCAGTTGATTATCAGGATGATCAGGTTCTATTATTGGATCTATTTTTTCATTGATAGGGTTTGGATGTAAATTAACTGCATGAACTGAAATTTGGATAGAGGGAAGAAGATGTAGAGGAGGTTCTTGATATTGTGGCTGATAATGAATTACTTCTGGTTCATTTACAAAGGTTATATTTTTTTTGTAATTTTCGAATGGAGGTATAAAATGAGTAATTAGAATTTGAAATACTTGTCAAATTTTCTGCAGTTGATCTAATTGTCTGGTTTACCATCATAGACTATTTGGATTTATCTGTATCCATATTTGATATTTTTATCTAAACAATCTTATCATTCAATGAAGTCTTAAGCTGTTGTACTGTTAATGATTTACTCTGTCACGAATATATTATATTTTTTGATAAAATAATTAGCTGATTTTTATTATCATAATGTGACAACCTTTAACTATATTGACATTCTGGTGAATGGATTCAGTTTCTGCAGTCATATAAACCAAAACAAACAAAAACATCAAGAACTATATTCATTCAACTACATTCATCTGACATACAAAACATAAACATTGAGGGGTGATCCTATGATAAAGGATATTATGCCATCATATGGATAGTCATCATATTTGTACTTAAATAATGTCATATGATACACCATATAGAAGCCCTTGTGTCAGTGCATTCCTACATTTTTGTACAATTCTAGTAAGCATTTCAAAATGGTTACTATTTAATTGGGGAATTCTGTTGAAGCTGAAGACTAACAAATAATTAAGGATAGTCGATACTTTTTCATTGAACACTGATTGGTCATTATTTTTAAACATAGTGACATAATCACCCAAAATTTAGGAATATACTAAGTAACTGATACAAGAGCTTTCAAATGATCGCACTTGCCATATACTGATGATAGTCCATACTTTTTCATTGAGCATTGATTGGTCATTATTATATATATTATATATTTAAACATAGTGACAGAATCACCCAAAATTTAGGAATATAGTGACTGATACAAGAGCTTTCAAATAATCTCACTTGACATAATTTATCTAAATTTATCTTAAATGATGTTATCAGTTGTTTTCAATGAATGTCACTGAAATATTATAAAAACAATGGTATTTGACCAGTTTTCCAGAAAATTATTCATTTTAAGTTTAATAATATTGGGAATGCCATGCATATTTTTCAGTTTAGTAAAAAAATATGAAAAACATTATGGCATCAAAACTAAGAGAAATTACAAAAACAAAATGTAAAAGAGAAATTATACTAAAGCAGATATAAAAAAAACATTAATATCACTACTCAGACTAGACAATAAGTAAGAAAAATCATGTGGTAGAATGAATTACTTTTTGCTGATCAGACAGGTATTGATTTTATCAATTTCATAATTAAAATAATAACAGTGTATATTATATCATCTGTTGGAAACACTAATTTTGAAAAAAAAAACAAGCCACCTTTAGTCACTGGTTTTTTAGCAAAAGACAATATAAATTAAAATTTGGAGAAATGTAAACCTTTTTAGAAGATAATTATATTATTTTTGAAGAGATATTTCCAATGACTTTGACTTAACTGTTTAACAATAATATTTTAAATTACGTTAGATTTTTGTTAAAGATGAAAACCACCTGATAACCAAATCGAAAACAAAAATGAATGAGTAATTGGTATTTAAGTGAAATTTTCTAGTAAACTCAATGTTTAACTTAGTATTTACAGTAATGCAGATAAATTAGAACTAAAATTGGTACAAGTGACATGATGAGGGACTATTATTAGGGTGCAGTTATTTCTAAATTTTTTACACAGAATTGATCAGGTAGGACAACCTGTATAGGTGCGTTAATAGATGTGCTATTTTTATGTGGGCTAGAAGTCGCATGACCAATGAGATGATTGTTATAGCAAATGTTGGCCTTTTAATTATTAAATTAGGTTTTAAAAACTCTTGGTCTGGATTCACCAAGAAATGCGGTCACTGAACCAAATAACTCGACCCTGACTTTTGCCATTGCCCTTTATATCATTTAAACTTCAATTTTCGGACTTAATCAAAATCAACTTACCTCTTTCTGTGGAATCCATCTCCAGTTAATTTAGTAATAAGTAACTTGGACACCACAAAACTTTTGGGGGAACAAGTTTTCACTCAAAAAGTACAAATAAACACACAGCCTACTTTCAATAAAATAAACATGGCCGTATACATAGCATATTCTGCAGATTTATATTTCTCCACAGAATTGAGTACCACTTACAATAGATCTAGTCAAAGTTTATAAGCTTTTCTACTGTTATAATTTTTGTTGTTTAGAAGTTTATAACACTAAATAAACATGTTTCAAAACAATTAGCGAGAATTTCTTGCTAAACCGAACTATATTTTTAATTTGCAAAATTTCCGCTATAGGTCATTGTAGCAGCACTATCCAATCCAGACACACAAAAATTACGTTACCCTAGGTCAATGTTAATCCTTTGGAAGATCAGCCACTTTTTTTAAATGTAGTCGGAAGAATCGACCTTATTAAGCATCCAAACTATTCATAATGTTACAGTTTTAGAACTTAAGTGAATAAATGAATATTTACATTATGTATACAAGAAATATTTGATTATTAGTCTGATGTGGCTGTAAATTTTTATACAGATTAACAATTAGATAGAAGAAAATTTAATAAATGTCACTGTCAGATACTGTCATTTACACACGTGTTTTTTGGTTTTGAAGGTTACTGGGAAACAGAAAGAAACAAACCGATAAATGTAAGTGTATTATTTATATTGTTAAAAAGTCTAGTAAATAAAAGTGTGTTTTGTTGTAGGTTAATAAATGGCTACTTCTCTAGCAGAACAGCTTCAGCGTTTAGCTGTACCACAAACATCTATTCTAACTCGGGATAAAAAGCGACCTTCCTTACTATTTGATCAAAAGGAAGCTGCCACGCTTAGCAGAGAAACAATATATCAAATAGGATTAGAAGGCTTAGAAGAGTTAGTGCAAAAGAATGAAACATTTGCTGAATTTGAACATACATTATTTCACCTGACATCAAAACAATTTGAAAGATCTGTTCAAACTGCAGAAGCCAATGAAAAACTTAATAAGTCTTTAAAAAAGTTTCTATTATTGTCAGCTCCGTACTTCATGTTAAACTCTTGTCACAAAACATTAGAATGGTTAATTAACAGGTTTTCTATTCATGAATATAACAGAGATGATTTGTTGTTGTTGAGTTTGCCTTACCATGAATCAAACATATTCGTTAGAGTTATCCAACTGTTTAAGTTTAAGGACACTAGAGACAGTTTTTACTTTTTAAAACAACTTCAAAAGCCTGGTGCACATTTACCCAAACAAAGTTTGTTGAATCATGCCGCCTCAAACAGTGGATTTCTTAAAGTGATTTCTAAATATATAAAAGATTTATTAAAGCATCATGAAAAGCCAGAAATTTTGACTGTGGCTTTTAACTTTTATTGCACAATATTTACAGGGACCATTGAGTTATCTGATAAAATAACTGAAGATCAAGTGTCTCAGATGCTACCAATGTTATTGAAGGGATTAAACTCTACAGTAGCAGATTTCTGTGCTGGTAGCTATGTTATTACAGCTAGATTAGTATCTAAAACCAGCTTCTCAGATAAACTTCTAGATAAATTTGTAGAAAAGATTTCAGAAGTTCCTGTCCCTACTTTAAAAACTGAGGCAATTTTAGTTCTTTTGGTTATTTACCAATCACAGAGCCAGTACAAATCAATTCCTCAAGTTGCTACTGCTAATCTATCAGAAAAACTTTGGCTGCCTAAAACTTTGTATAATTTGCAATCCTCTGGCAGTTTTGTTTATCCTTTTTTAGAAATTATTCTGAAAAATTTTGCATATGAAGGAGTTAACAATGATTTTAAATTGGCTAGAGAAATGATTAAGGCCTGTTTGGATTACATTAAAGTAAAGGACACATTTGTAGCAACTGTTTTAAGGTATGATATTTTTAACAAATAGTAACAAATCAGTTATTTGAGTATTTCAAACTAGTTGCATATATAAAGTAAAAGGGGAAAATCTCAGTGGTTGGCTGTATACCATAGTTTAAAAAAACTTACATAAAAGTATATTTTATTAAAAAAATATTTAAAATTTATCCAAAAGGATTTATCAAAACATTTTTGGTCTAGTGAGACCATCATCAATGAAAATCATTTAAAGTAGTTGAAACTATGTATACTTCATCTAATATACTTACTGTTGCACGTCATCCATATCCTAGTCTGTGAGGTCACATGATACCAACACAAAATATTTTGGCCGTAGGTATGTTCTTTTTTAGAATCACTTTGCTGAGTACACTGGCATTACAGCCACTAGACATATTTTATTATATACATGTAGAAATAATATTTAAAGATTTCTATTAATGTTAACTTGAAGAAATATACAATAATATGTTTCATTTAATTTGTATAAATGCACTATAAAGCATTTTTATGAAGAACATTTGTTCAGAACACACTGTAACTGTAATCTAACGAAGGTGATATTTTGGCATAAATTGGTAACACTTATTTGACAGTTGCTGTGTTGACACTTTTTGTACTTTATTATTTTGAATTCCAAAGTGAATACATCTTGTTTTATATTTTTACCTATTTAATAAAATCTGTTCTTTTTAGAACAAAATAAATGAGTTTTATTTCAATAATGTCACATAAGAATTTAAATAGTTGTTGTAAAGAGGTGGTAATACTTTTGCAATAATTATGTAACTATTTGATTTAAAATGGAGTCAGGATTTTTTTAAACTTTGGCAACTATGTCAACTTCGATCTCTGTCAATGATAATGACGTGCAAAGGTAAGTAAATTAGATGAAGTATAGGTACATAATCAAGTGTAGAAACCCTTATATTACATGAAAATCATTTTAATATTGTAATGATACTAGGTTGATGTTATAAGATTTAAATGAAGGGAACATATGTCTTCCCTGCTCAAAAGGGGGACTTTGTCCAACTATAAGATCTAGTCAACTTAACCCATCAAAGCCCGAATTAATTTTTTTGTAAAACTGGTGATTTTTTGCTAAGTTTAACTCAGGAAAAATACAAATAAGCAGAAAAACATTAAATTTTATTTGTTTATTGAACGTATGACATTACAAACTGTAACTGTATGGTAACACTAGGTCAAAATACTATAAAAATATAAGATTTACTCTTTATGAAATATGGCAAAGCATTCAATTCAGAGTCCAATATTTTTTTATTAGGAACAGGTATAATGAGATGGTTAACACCATCGTACCCAATGTTGTCAGAGATTATGTTAGGAGATAAACTCTTTCTACTGGTTGTTGGTCTACCAGGTCTAATGGGAAGGTTTTTTAATTGAAGTTGAAAGAATTGAATTGAAGGAAAGGTAAGTAGTCGCGATTTCACGTCGAAAAATCAAATTAGTTGTCAGTCTTCCTGAACACTTATAAAGTATCCACGCATTTTGCACCGCAGCATCAATTAACCATGTAAGTATAGACCAATACCATTTCTTACTACGAATATACAGTATCTGGTTAAATCCTCATCCATTCTATCAGTGCCTCCCATAAACTTGTTATACATTCCAACAACATGTGGGCATGGAATTTGGATGACTTTTTTTTCAGCATACGAATAACTTTTCACTTGGTGAATAGGATGCACACCAGATGAAGTTGATGATATTGTTACGACGGCGTTATCCATCCATCTTGTCATCATAACACCCTCCTCTTTGTCAATTTTTAAAACCAAATAACCTTGTTATTGTTGTTTTATGGACAAGTGGAACATATTGTGGTATTCTGTTCTCTCTTATTGTTCCTGTGACACCATATCCTTTTTCTTTTAAATACATCATTAAATTGAATACAGTAAAAAGGTTTTCTACATAGATTTGGTAAGGCAGCTTTTGTTGTGGCAAAGTGTCCAACATCGAGACAAGAGGACCGGCTGTCTTTCCAAATGCAAGTTGGTAAAGATTGTTGGAATTAGTACTTTTCTTTTGATAGATCTCAAAATTCACAAGATAACTGTCTCGAAGTGAAGGCACCATACTTTATAACCAAATCTTATCGGTTTTCCCCTAATGACTCATCATAATTAAAATACATAAAGTACTCTGTAATTTTTCGATTACTGGTCTTAATTTCCACATTTTTTCATTTATTCTTTTATTCAATCCATTTGCTTATTATCAGCACAGTGCATGAAACTCATTATTTGGATAAACCTGTCGTGACGCATTGCATCCCCCACCATTTTATATAAATGTCTGCTCCATTGTCCCAATAAAATCTTTTTCCAGGAAGACAATTGTATCCAGACACAATCAAAATACCCAAAAACATTTGATTTTGTCCAAGGTAATCTTCGGATCAGGACAATTCACAAAAAGAGCGTATTTTCTGGTTTCATCTAAAATATGGCCTAGCATTTCATTATCGAAAAACAACTTAAATAAATCTGTAGGGCTCATATTTTTAAATTGTGAGTAGTCTGCTTTGGGAACGTCGGATGTTTTTACAAAATCTCCATTGATCCAAGTTCTTTTAGTATACTTTTTCCCTTTAGTGATTTCAAAAAACTAGCATTAGGTTCTGTGTGAAGTGGTGAATTAAGTGGTGTTCTGTAAATAAATAAATAATTAGATCTCTTATTAACCTAGTGTGACCATTTGGTAACAGTCTGATTCAGTCTCATGTAAATTTTTTGTTACTAAGCCAGGTTGTCTGCAATATTTTTTATATTATAACCTACTTTTTTAACTGTATCAATAATTATTTAAATTGTCGGAAAGTCTTAATAGTAAACTAATAAAACTACTTACTCAAATCTCGGTTTCATAATTTGCACATTTGTTAATACACACGAATTCACACAACTATACTATTCTTTCGCTCCAAAATGTGAAATGTAACACTGTAACAAATTGAATACACTGACATCTAGTAACGAAAAGTTAAACTGCGGATAGATTTCTAGCGTTAACTTGAGCTACAATTAACATTAAATGATGGCGTGTTTTCGTAACCAAGTGGTCACACAAGGCTTTGATGGATTAAATGATTTTCATTAATGATGGTCTGGCTGGACCAATTTTTTTTCTAAGCTATTAACAATAAGTCAAATATTTTAATGAATATTGATCAGGACATGTAGAAATTTTCTCCAATGAGAAAATACCTCTATTAGTTTACAAAATTACTATTGCACATATTATTATCTAAATATATCTATTACTAAAGTCTGTTTATTTGAATCACTTTAAGTGACATACTCTACCTGTGGTTTTGGGTAACTCAGGCACTAGCACATTAAGATAATCACTGGCTTTATGTTTTGTGTTTATCACTAATATGATATTTCTGTTTTTACTGATGATATTTTCAAATCTCTTGATTAGTATATTGGACAGGTACCGCTGTGAATCTGTAATTATGATCAGGATCTTATTTTGAAATTTTTGGATGATTTAAAGGTTTGAGTTACTAACAGCACTCCAGAGTTCTATTCCATATGTCCATACCGGCTTCAGGATTGATATGTAGATTAGGAGTTTATTTTCTATTTTTAGGCTGGATTTCCTGCCAATCAGCCAGTACATTTAGTGTACTTTTAATCCCAATTGTTTATGTTTTGTGAAGGTATGTGTTACCACACCACATCATTCACCGATCTAAATATATACCAAGGTCATGGTCCAGTCATTGGTTTGTTTAAGCTGTATACCATTCATTGTGACCAGTGAGCAGGTATCCCTTTTCCTTGTGAGGGTTACATGCTAGGATTTGACTTCATTTGCTTTCATTTTCCACTTGTTGAGCAAAAGTTCAATCTTGTTGAGACACTTTTGTAGGTTTTTCATAGTAGTAGCTGCATTTTGATGTGATGGTAATATTACAATATCATCTGCAAATGTACCTAATGCATACTAACAACGTTGAGTGTGTTTCAGGGAAATCCATGATATATAGTACTTAAAGCACAAGTCCAAGAACACTGCCTTGGGGTACACCTAATTCATCTGGGTACAAGTCAGTGCATTCCTCTAACTAGGTGTCTAACTAGGAAGTATCTGTTGGTTAGATAAGATTCTAGCATGCCGTAGAATCTATGCAGTAGATGCTTTTTGATTTTATAGAGTAGGCCGCTGTTCCAGACCTTTTCATAAGCCTGACTTATATTCAGAAAGACTGTGGAACATGATCATCTATTTTCCAGGTAGTTGTCAATTTGTTTAACAATTCTATGTACCTGTTGGATAGCGCTATGGATTGGATTTTTTTTATTTCTAGGATGGCTTGAAGTCTTTTTAAGAACAATTTGTCAAATATTTTGGATAGAATTGGCAATAGACTGATTGGCCTATATGATGTAATTTCCTCAGGTTTCTTTCTTGGTTTCGGCATCATTATGACTTCTGCTATTTTCTTTGTTGCAGAAAATAACTTTTCTAAGTACTATGACTAACTAAGTTTTTACTTATAACTAACTTGACTAACATAATGACATTCATTACTATATATAAAATCTTCTTTACTTCAAGTATTAGACTTTAGACCTGTTCTGTCCTCAGTCTTGCCATCTTTTTCAGGGCCATCCCATGTCTCTTCTTCCCTGTGGTTTATATTTTACAACATGTCTTACCAATGTATATTATTTCATTTGTTACTATGTTCTCTCCATTTTAATTTGTTGTGTTGTAATTATGTTATTCATCAGAATAATGTGAGAATATACAAAATATCACAAATATAATAGACCATATCCAGAACAGGTCCTTTAATTCTGGGTATCAACCTTTGATAGTCTTTCACCATGTTTCTCACTGATGTCTCCTAAATTAATAAAACCTTATTAACTCAAATTTTCGATGTGACTTGAAAAATTGAAAAAAAAATTATGAAAACTTACTAAACTAATAAGAAAAAAATATTTCCTTTCATG